TAATTATTGCCAATGTGGGTAATGAAGCTAAGACATAAAGTATTTGTGCTAATTGTCTTTCTTCGTTATGAAAACTAACATGTTTTCTTCTCTCTTGTTGTTTTCAGATGCCAGTCTTTGCCCCCTGAGACTGTACTTCTAATATGATTGCCACTGACCTTATTGAGTTGAAGGACTGGTGGTCCTGACTTTCTTGTACTGCTGTATTTATCTTTCTCCAAGTTTCAAATATTTTCTGTTATTAATTTTTGAATAATTTATGTATCATTTTGCTCTTTCTAATTTGCCTTGAATCCCAGTGACCTGTATTTTCCTCATTTGATTTCCTTGTAGGGCCTGTAAATTTTTTTTGTTTCTCTTTATTTTTTAAAATTAGAATTTGCTGGGGATATACCTCAGTGTCCTAGTGTCTGCCTGACAAGCACAAGGTTGTGAGTTTGATTCTCAGTACAAAAAACTAAACTAAAATACAATATAATAAAATTGGGATTAAAATATTCTAGTGCATGCTAGTCATATAAAATGGCTTCATTGCAAGATAGGTATCCTTCAATTAGTGTAGAAATTTGAAGCAAAAATAATACCCAGATTGCCCAAGATAAGTTTGATACAAATGCTAGTCTGTAGAAAATAACATGCACTTCATCATTAAGAAATACCCACAAACACCTGGCTTGCTGTTCTCCTCACACCGCCACTGTCCTTAGCGGGAAAGAACACTCTGAGAAGCACAGGAATTCTCCATGGTGATCCCGTTTGCACTGCTGTTAAGTGAGCTACCATTCAGGGACCAACTGTCACTTGCTATAACAATGCCACGTAATAAAAGTGTACAATATATATAAATTTAAATTTAAAATATCTCATGTAATGGGTATTTGGTACGATATAAAAATTACACCTAAAAACACTGAGTGGCAAATTTGGACAAAAATCACTCTCCTATTTTCATAGTGTTCCTCAAAGGGAAACAACAGAGCATGTGGCCCTACCTTGTGAGTTCTGTTAACTGGTTGGTAGAAAGTTGTAACGTGACGCTGTAGCAACCATGGGGGTTCATCACTGAGAAGGAGACAAAGCACTTTCAGCCCAGGGCAGAGATGCCAGGGCTGCCATCTCACTGGCTCAGCAAGAGCAATGCACAAGAAAGGAATGGACAGACCACTGTGGAAAGTCTTCCGAGGTTCTGTGTTACAAAGGACGGCAAGAGGAACTGGTCTTGTCCATAAGCTTAGCCTTTGTTACACAACATCAGTGGCCTTGTGATGGCTGGTGTTGTTTTTTACCTCTGCAAGAAAACTAGTATATTTGACTGTGTGTATTTTTATGAGTATATGCTGCAGTGGCTGTGGGGAAAAAGGAACCGTTCTCCACTGCTGGGTGGGAGTGTAGATTGATGAAATCACTGTGAATATCTGGTGGGAGATTCCAGCATATGAGTACATGAGTATATGACTGTGTGTGTATTATGAGTATGTGCTTGCAGAATGAGTCCCTTGTGTTGCTGCATGTACAGGATACTTCTTGATGCTTTCACTTCCCTGTCGCCTCCTCTCCCTGCACCCCTTCTCCCTTCCCACCATCACTTGGTTTCCTCCCCAATTCTGAAAGATCTATGGTATTCCTCTGTTTCCTATGAACTCTCTTTTACTTCACTCTTTATTTAAACTTTGGGTTTCTTATATAAGAGGAAAGCTGGTGTGCTCAGAATGGTTTGGAGCCTCTGAAACCTCACCACAAAGTCTCTGACAATTATTTACCTAGAAGTGGAGGCGTTTCTGTTTAACACACACAGCTGACACTTTACTTTTGAAAGCCACACATTTCTGTAGAATCTTTTCTTGTCCACTCTGTTTATTTTCAATTTTCCTGCCTTCCAGCTCCTGCATTCTTTCTTCTTTTTGATTAATTGTGCATTTGAAGCTCTTCACTGAAGCTTTCATTTCCTATATTTGAAGAATTTCTGTTCTTGTTTACTTTTCTTAATTCAACTCCCTTAGCTATTTAAATTACTTGTCTGAGAGATAACACACCTATCTCTTTATGGTCAGTCTTAGTGCCTTATTTTTGTAATTCTCTATTCTCAAACTTGTGAATATTCTTGATGATTGTGTACAAGCATAATAAATGATTAGGCATTCATTACTTTTTTATTTTAAAGAGAATAAAAACGACAAAATAACAATAACACAGACAAAACCAAAACAAAGCAAAAACAAAAATAATACAGGGTTTCAAAACAGAATGATATGAGTTAACAGGGGCTGTTATATTACATACTGTTATGTTCAACGAAGTTGCTCAGGTTATCAGATGTGAAAATGCAAGATTGATCAAACCACTAAAGAGAATAAAAATAATAAAAAAGTAGAAATGATGCAAAGCTTCACTACACAAGATGGTAGGAATTCACCAGTGGTTGTTACATTGCATATTTTTGTCTTCAAATTTGTTGTTCAGATTACCAGACATAAGCATACAAAATTGGTCAAAATAATTAAGCATTAATTGTTCCTTTCAATAAACAATTAGACATCAGCAGTACAATTATCCCAGCTATCCTTCTCTGTGTGTGTGTGTGTGTGTGTATATATATGTATATGTATATATATATATATATATATATATATATATAGTTTTCCCTTCTTTCTTTTTCTCCTTTCCCTCATCCTAGTTGTTCCTTCCTTTGAGCAATTTCTTTCCCTTTCATAATATCTGTTTTTGTGTTTTGTTGACTCTGTCATGTTCTTACACTAGAGAGATACTATGATGTTTACACATATGGGTCTGATTTATTTCCCTTATGAATGTGGTCTCTTGGTGTATTTATTTAAATATAAAAAGCCTATAAAAGCCTAGAGTTTATCTTTCTTTACAGCTGAGTAATATTCCATTCTATAAAAGTACCACATCTTTTTTATCCATTCCTCAGTTGGTATTTGAGTTGTTGCCAAGATTTAACTATGAGATATTGTGCTGTTATAAACACGGGTGCACATAAATCACTGTGATGTGATATTTTTAACTCTTCTGGGAAAATACCCAGAAGGGGAATAACTGGGTTGAATGGGACCTCTAATCCCAGTTTTGGGAGGAATCTCCCACCAGATATTTACAGTGGTTTCATCAATCTACACTCCCACCAGCAGTGGAGAAGGGTTTCTTTTCTCCTACAGCCACTGCAGTGTTTGTTAGTGGTTGATTTCCTGATCATAGCCATTCTTTCTGGAGTAAGATGGAATCTCAGTGTTGTTTTAATTTGCATTTCTCAAATGACCAATGATGTTGAACTTTTTTTCATATATTTATTTTCCATTAGTATTTCTTCATGTGAGAAGTATGTATTCATCTCAGATGCCCATTTTTGAATTGCGTCTTTGAATGCTAGTGGCCCAATTTTTAAAAATCTTTATCTGTGCTAGAGAGAAGTCCTTTGTCTGAGGGACAGTTGGCTAAAATTTTTTCCAAATTCATGGGTTTTCTTTTTATTCTGTTGGTGATTTCTTTTGATGTGCCAAAACTTTTTAATGAGATGAGATCCCAGTTTTGAGTCTTTGAAGTAGGCCTTCATTCTTTACAAGCTGTTTGCGTGCCGGCTTTTCCTCAGAAGGAATCCCAGAGACTGTAAGCACGCTGCTGCCGGCCTTAGCTTGGCTCTGCAGTCACTTGGGCACAAGCGTGTGGCCAATGCCAAAGTTCACCATGAGTCCTGGGGCAGCTTCCATGTTAGCAGAAATCCCAGCCTGGATACACCTGATGAAAGCCCAGAGGTGGTTCCCAGGGATTCTGGAAACCTGTCCAGGACACAAGCCTCGACTTCTGTCCTGGTGACACAGATAGGCCTTCTCTAAATTCCCTGCATGAACAGATTAGTTTTCTTCCTGAAGTGGGAAGGCCAGGAGATTATGCTGCACCTGCTCTGGACCCCCTGTGTCACAGCGGGTGGTGCTCCTCATTGGCTGGGCAGTCACATATCTCTCAGGTGGTACCGGAACACATGGTAATTTCCTGAATGAAGGGCAATGTGCTGGCCCCAAGATTTCCCACTTTTCCCCAAGATTCACAGTGAGGTGGAGGCTCCTGAGCACATCTCCTGGGTCAGAACTGTTAACATCTCTTAACAGGCTGAGCGCAGAGCAGAGACTTTCCTGACTATAGCACGAGGTGGAAGAGTCTTGACGGGACAAAGGATGATCACTGACCCTGCTGCCTCAGTGCTTAGGGCACACCTGCCTCCCGGCCAAACACTTGGTACATATCAGTAGGACCTCTGGTGACTATCAGTAGGACCCTTTCCACACTTGAGCGCAGGAGCACACCTCTTGTTCTGTTTCCTGGGTGTAGGTCTGTGCTCTCAAAACAATCCAACAATACCCCAGGACTGGGCACCACCACTTTCACAATCTCCTCAGAGACTCCTGAGAGAACATAGACATTTCATCAGGGCAAGAGCATAGAGTGTTTGATGTGTAGTGATAACAATAGGGTTTTTTTTCTCTATCTTACTGACTTCCACTGTCAGTGTTCTAAATTGCAAAGAAAAGAATGATCTTGTTTATCTTTTTTGCAGTTGGTATGCAAGTCTTAGAAATTCATGCATTGTACATACAGGAAGCAACATTAAAACTAAAGTACATGACATAAATAATAAATACTAGGTTAGAAAAAGCTTTGAGCCCACATATTAGCATTTTTTCTCTGTGTGACATTGGGAACAATATTTACCTTTTTTCATGCCCTTACGTTTTCACTTAGAAAGCAGGTGATGATGTCAGTCACAAGTACATCTCATGTTTTAATGGCACATAAAAACTGCCTAACAGGAATCATGATAAATAATACATTCTCCAAAAGTGTTGTATCAAAATGAAATTGGCCCATTTCACTATTAAATATTCTTAGGATATTGACACATAAACTTTACTTTCTTTTTATACAACACTAATCTAGGGAAATTACAATATCTTTAACAAGTTAACAAATTCAGGAATTTAGACTCATCATGAAGAGTGAAGTGAAATTTTCTGGTGTTTTAGATTGACTTGTTTGCTCAGCCACCTTTTTAAAGCTCCCTTGACCTCACTGCTCCTCAGAGAGTAGATCATGGGGTTCAGCATAGGGGTGAAGATGGTATAGAAGGCTGACACGACCTTATCGTGGCTGGCTGACCTGTAGGATGTGGGTCTCATGTAGATAAAGATGGCAGCCCCATAAAAGAGGCCCACGACTGCCACATGGGAGGAGCAGGTGGCAAAGGCCTTCTTGCGGGCCTCTGTGGAGCGCATGTGCAGGACAGCAGCGAGGATGAGGCTGTAGGAAGTCAGGATGAGGGACAAGGGGATGAGGAGCATCAGGATGCAGCAGATGTACATCACGTTCTCAAAGACTGAAGTGTCAGAGCAGGCCAAACGCACTAGCACCGGGGCCTCACAGAAGAAATGATCGATTTCATGTCTGCTGCAGAATGGGAAGCTGAGGGTAGCCGCAGCCTGCATGAGCCCATCAGCTGCCCCCAGGAACCAGGACCCCAAAGCCATTCTCAGACACAGCCGCCAGCTCATGAGGGTGGCGTAGCGCAGCGGGTGGCACACAGCCACAAAGCGGTCGTAGGACATGGCCGCCAGGAGGAAGCTCTCCCCACCACCCAGGGTGAGCGAGACAAAGATCTGTAGTCCACAGCCAGCTGCGGAGATGGAAATCTTCCCAGCAAGAAAGCCATCAGCCATCTTGGGCACAATGGTGGAGGTGAGCATGAGGTCCATGAGGGAGAGCTGGCTCAGCAGGAAGAGCATGGGCGTGTGCAGCCGGCGGTCCTGCTGGATCAGGAGGACCAGGAGGGCGTTGCCCAGGAGGGAAGCAATGGCCACCAGTGCGAAGAGAAAGAGGTGGAGTCTCGTGTGCCTAAAGAGTCCCAGGAGAAAGAAGTCTGACGTGCTGTTGCTCTTCTCCATGCTTTCTGCTGCTTTGATTCTGCAAATGGAAAAATAGAGAAAAAGGTGTCTCAGATCATCTAAACCTCTTGTTTCATAATCTGTTTATATTTATGGGGCATAGATTTGAAGGTGTGATTCAAAACCCACCTCCCAACCAAGCCAGATTCTCTTGGCTTATTAGTATTATGCTTCTCTCCCACTCAAATTCCTGCGGTTTAACTACAGGTATGCATATATGCCACAAAAGAACACATTGGTAGAAAACTATGCATAAAAATAATTTTAAATTTTTACTATTGCTTAATGATAGAGCTAATTTTGTTCTTTTAAAATTATTTGTGTTAACGGTACTGTGCTTTTGTTATGTATGCTGAAACCGAAAACAATCAGGTGAAGAAATGCTGATTTAGAATTCTGTGCTTTAGACTTGTTTGTATGAGATGGTTTATTTTTCACTTTATGAAACCTAAAAACTTTCAAAAATAAGTTTTCATAAAAGTAAACATTAGTTAAATTTTATCACTGTAGTTTCCAAAAATCGAAAAACTGCACATTAGGATGAATTGAAGGACTTTCCTCCTTCCATGAGTAATAACAATGTCTCATGACATTGATTAATTGAAATTTGATTCATTGAAAATTCTTTATTCTTCCTCTCAGTAAATAAACTTCTATTTCCCTGATTTTCTAAAGGTATTTCTGCTTCTCCCTTGATTTTATAAATGCAAATGTTTCTGTTCTCCTCGTGCTCTGAAACTTTCATCACTGGCTCACTCACCCCACTTACATGAAATAGAAACTGTTTCCTGAGTTTGGCTTCAGCTTGTGGACACGAGGAGCGTGTCCCACCTGACTGCACGGCCCTGGGTACCTGCGGAAACAAGCGAGAGTGGAAAGGAAGCAGAAAGGACTTTGATGTTGATAAATGCTCCAAGAGACCAGCAGGGACTCTGGTGAGAAATGTGCTGAAGGATGAAAACGATAGTTATCAATGGTTTCATCTCTGGGGAGCATTATCATTAAGTCACAAAGAATGAAACCAGCTTGAAAAAATACATATTTAAAATAATGCGGTTAATATTTGATCTTTTGTTTCTTAAATCATACAGATATTGATAAAATAGCCAAATACAAAGCAATATGCAAAAATCAGTAACTTTTTAATACAAATTTGACAAGGAAGCCATTCAAATAATAGCATTCACTATCAGCAGTAAAGTTTACCCAGAAATAAACTTACTTGAGAAAGTAAAAGATGTCTTCAGTGAAAATTACAAAACATCAAGGAAAGATATTCAAGACAAAACAGAAATGAAAGGAATAATGCACCATGTTCCGGGATTGGAGGATTTAATATTGTTAAACTGTCCATATTATCCAACGTGAGCTGCAGACTCATTGTAATTCCTGTCAGAGTTCAAATTTCATTCTTCACAAAGTTGAATATGGATTTTAGGTATTTGTCAAAAAATGAAAACTATATCACAGGAAGAAAACGTCATTGCTATCATTTTCTATCTATGAGATGAGGGGAAAGTTATTTATCCTTGTTTGCATTTTTTACTGACATTCATTCAATTATCAGTCATACAAATATGTTAATGAAGGAATTAAATGACATTTTACATATGAAAGTGTTGTAAAGTCTCTAAGATTTTTTCAAGTCTTGTTATATTTTGGAAGTAAATCTCTTACTTTTTAGTTTAACTTTTTATTCTAAATTACAAATTGCCATTTTTTCCTAGACACTTGAAAGGTAAAGCAGAATGTGTGATTTTTGGTGATTTGCCCAAGGGATATGGCAACCTGAACTTGAATTCATTCATCTATAAAGAATAAATTCCACATTTTAAATAGTTATAATTTTCAGAATGAATGTGTTTAGTCTAGACGTAGAGATGGGGTAGAGATAAAAGTATCAAAGAGAGGTAAAAATGAGAAAAACAGAATTAAATTGTTAACCTACATACACACAAATTTTTGGATAAATAAAATAATACTTTAGTTTGGAGCCATGATTCTGATAAAATAGCAAACAAATAAATATCCTGCATTTTAAGATTTGCCACAAATAATATTTAACAAATTTTACTTTGTAGAACACTGTAATGGTTAGATAATTTAGTAGGAAATCAGTTTGTAGACACTACTTCATTATTTTTCATGTATAAGGCTACTGCAGGTTCATAATCTTTGCTATGTCACCCAAAAAGTATTTTTAGTTTTTTTATTTTTTTGGTACTGGGAACTGAACTCAGAACCCCGTGCTTGCCATGCAGGTACTGTGCTGCTGAGCTATCCTTGTGGCCCCAGAACCATTTTTTAAAATAAAAGATTGTTTTTGTCATTATGAACAAATAGCTGTATTTATCTGCTATTTGAAACATTTCTCAATTAAAATGCTGTTAACTCTGACAATTATGAAAAGTGGAGAGATGAATGTGATTATATTTTTAAAGTCAATTTGTAGATTGAACTTTTAAGCAATTCAGTAGGTTATGTGAATAAAGTACTTTTGAAAACTTTTGATATTCCGACAGTGAAACTATTGAAACTGCAATAGCCCTGAACAACGACCTGTGTTTTTGAGTGAGTATAACTTTAGAGAAGATTGTGTGGTTAAATTCCTTATTTTAATCAGGGAGAAGACGATTTTGAGATACACAGAGGCAAAAATCCTCAGTTCTTTTGAAGTGAGTGACCTGAAATGGAACAGAAAAAGTGTAGGGGCTTACACAGTTACGTTTTTCCTTTTTTTCTTTAAAATTTTGTTAATGTGCTTTTATTAGTACATGTTTACAAGCAATGCAGATAAGTCTCCTTTGAACCAAATGGGAGAAAATTTTCCCTATCAGGGACGTGGAACACTTTTCCAGTTTTATACATATCCTCTGCAGAAAAAGAACACTGTCTTCATTTCTCTGGCCATTGTTCAGAGGTACTAGAATGTCACTCAACACTCTCCTTTCCCTTTCCTTTTGCCTCCGGCCTTCCACAAAGAGACAGTCTCTCTCTACGGCACAAGGTATTGATGTAATATAATTAATATCACAACCAGCCACAGGGTTCATTTAAAAAATCCACTAGGAGCACAAGAATTTGACTGAATTGCTTTTCTTTTTTTTATTTTGAAAATAAAAGGAGGAAAACATTAACAGACAGAGAATATTTTACAAAATAGCAAAAGAACAGTGCAGACAGTACGGAGTTACAAACAAAGTGGTAGGGAATTAACAATGGTTGTTGTATTACATATTGATATCTTCATAGTGGTTTCTCATGAAAACAGATAGAGACATGCAATACTGATCAACCAAGGACTCATTGACAGTTTCTTTCAGCAAAGAAATAGAAGACAGTAGAATTGCTTTTCAATAAGAAATTTTACCTTTATGTGTCTGGATGTGCATAAACTCCATCTTGCATGCTCAAAACTTGATATGGACAACAGGGGAACATTTATCCTCTAACATTTATTGAATCAATGTTCAAAAGATATGTTGCAGTTCAAAATTCACATTTAAAATATGAAGCATATGATAAATATGAATCATTTGAATGATTTCCTAAAATATTAGAAAATAAATCTCCACCTTTGTAGCAGAAAATCATCACCAATGAGGTCCATATATATGCAGTGACTCTCTGGAGGGTTCATTACAAATGTTTGCTTCAATCACTGCCATGGACAAGGCTCTGTGCTTTTGGCCTTCTGCCATACTTAGTTAAAAGTCCTAGATGACCACTGAAAATTTTCTATGTCTAAAAAATTTCTCCTCTAGGGAACCACCACTTTAAGGATGAAACACCTTTGGCAAAGGAACACAGATAGAAATATTTTCTAAGGGTAAATGAATCCAATCAAATAATGTAGGACCCTGGTTTTGCCAAAGCAAAAGGTCTGTGGGCTAGAAGGTGTCAAATTGTGGTGTTGTTAAGCACTGCAAATGCACTGCATGATGAGAGGTGCGCACTGCAGTTCCGCTTGGTGATAATCACTGAGTCCAACAAATAGGACAAAACTGCAGGAAATAAAGATGTGATTTAATTTTCTGATGTTGTAAAATGATTATGAAAACATTTTTATTTGTTGAGTATCTCTACATGCTAGTAAATATCCCCACTATTTTAAATATATTTATTAAACTTTATTCATTAAGATGTATTAATCTTTGAAAGAGTATTTTGATCTATTATATTGTACATACTACATGAATGCTAATAGCATTAATGATTTTAAGTAATATATTTGTATTAAACAGCATAGGGTAGCTGAGTGATCTTGGATTTACATGATTAAAGCCTACTGAGGAAACACATATCATATTTGCCTACAGATCAATAATAATGTCTGGAAAATTCTAATTTATGTTTTACTTTTTGTTTTTAATATAAGTTTAACTTGTTAATATAGATTACATGTTGCTGTTTTTTTCATGAAGCTTGCAAATTAAGGCAAAAAATATTAATTTGGTCATTTCATCAAAGGGTATGGCATAAGAAGTTAGAATTCTATTACTTGAAAAGAATAAACTCCGCATTCTAACCTGTTCATAATTTTCAGAATGAATATAATATGTGTAGGTCTACAAGAGTGATATAGATAGATGTTTTTGTATGTGCAAGAAATAAGAGTGAAAAAAAACAGAAACAAATGCATAGAATAAATACAAATGAATTTATTTCTAGATAAAATATTACTTTCATTTGGAGCCATGATTCTTTAAACTGAGAATGTAACAAATAATTAAAATAAATATATATTTTATTTTGAAAATTAAACTGAAGAATAATAAATTTTACTTTTTAAAAATTCATAACAGTCAGATAATTTAATAGAAAATAAATTTGATGCTATGAGTTCATTATTTTTCATGTATACAGAGCTACTGCAGGTTTGTAAACTGTATTGAGTGTCATCCAAAACCTTTTTCAAAATAAAAGATTGTGTGGACAGACAGCTCTATTTATTTGATATTTGAGACATTTATTCTGCAAATGAAATCCTAAGTTTACTT